GCTCTCAACCCACAATATTAACAGCAAAGTGTCTAATCTCAATGCTAGATCAGGTGTCTACTGCTGCTCCTCCTACAGTGATGCTCAAGCTGAAGAGATCCACTGCTTTGTGTCTGAGGGTGGTGGGCTGCTGATGGCAGGTCAAGCATGGTGGTGGTCCGGCAATAACCGTCAACAAGACCCAACTGCATGGTACCCTGGGAACAGAATCCTCAATCGATTTGGGATCAGCATACTGCAGTACACTGTTGAGCAGAAACTCTACAAGGCTCCCAGTGTAGACAAAGCTTTGAAGTGTCCTCACTTCCGCAAAGAGCTCTCTGAAATGATAAGCCATGTGAAGAACCATAGATCTCTGCGGGGTTTCAAGTCATCAATGAGTCATTTCTCTAGAAACTGTACTTCCTACCTAAACATGAAGGCTCATTACAGTCCCATGTACACTGGGGTTTTGGAGGAGTTAACTTCAGTTGTCACAGGGAGCAGTGTTTTTAAAGTTAGTCCAGAGTTTCCCGTGAGAAGTGAGACAGAAAAGATCATACTGCATCTTGCTAATACCATATATGAACTGAATCCAGGACAACTGACCACAAGCATTCTGAGACCGTATGTTTCCACTCATACTACAACCATTACCATTGATGGCAGCAATAAAGGTGAGGTATTTACAGACATCCTGAGATTACTTGAAACAAGCATTTTTAGTGAAGTAAGTTTCATTCTGTTGAAATCTTATGTCTGTTTCCCTAAGGTGCAAAATTATGGAGAAGCACAGGCCTTTATGTGTCTCCAGGGACACAAGTAACAATTTGTGTGCCACCAGGTGTCTCTGGGAAAGGCCTGCAAGTCAGTGTCATTATTAACATTTTAAATTTTCTTTCTATGCTTCATAAGAATTAATTTGAGGAAAACTGCTGTCTGTGACTCCTGCTGTTTTACTGTGATCCATAGGTGCAGATTGGCTGCCACACTGATGACCTGAGTAGCCTGAAAGAGCTGAAACGGGCACCAGTGGTCACTAAGTGCTTCCCAGTTGAAGCAGAGAGGGTGAATGTGTCCAGCCTCTGGGGAGGACTCCTGTACCTCATTGTGCCCCCAAACAGCCAGCTTGGCAGCTTGGACATAGTTGTGGAGAACGCAGTCAAGGCCCCCTATTTCAAACTGGGTATGGAATAGCTAGATCTCATGAAAAGCCGAAAACATTAATGCAATGTAATTTTATAGTAAGAAGTAAAGCTATTTTACTTATGACCATTAAAATTGCAGATAGTGGTTTTTATGTCTAATCAAGATATATATTCATGAAGCATTACATGAGTGAAATGTGTAATTGTAGCATTGGAAAGTTTCTTTTGACTAAAGGGTGTTTTGTTTAGCCGAAACACGAATGGGGCAATGTGTCACTCTGCTGGTTACTGATTCGAAGTTACTGGTTTAAATCCTATGGTTGACATAGTCATATTACTGTTGTACCCTTGAGCAAGGCCCTTAACCCCAAAAGCTCCCAAATGACCATTCACTCTTACCATAAGCTTTGCTCTCTCCTTTATATGTCTTTGTGTGTGTTATTGGAGCACGATGGGATAAAATAAATTTAATTGTTGTACTTGCTCCTTGTACAATGATAATAGACAACTTTTTTATTAACAAAATATCTAAGAAAATTGTTTAAACTGGATCCTATTGGCTTCCTTGTAGGACTGAGCAAAGTTTCCAGCTGGCAGTCCAGTGAGCGCTCTAATCCTGCCCCATGGGCAGAGCTGGAGGCTGACAGCATCATCTTGACAGTGCCTTCAAGTGATGTGCGACACCTGGACGACCCCATACCATTACTGACCCTCTGGAACAGCATCATGGAGGGGGTCTCCAAACTGGCTGCTGGCCCCTCCCCTTTTCCACGCCCCGAGCGCATCGTCGCAGATGTTCAGATATCTGCAGGTAAACATCGCTTACTGAAATTATTTGCTTATTGTATATTTTTGGCATAATAAGCGAGGGTAATAACTGGGAAATCTGATTTTTTATTACTTTTTACTAATGAGTAATAAGTGATTGTTTAATTTTCACATGTGTTCAGAGGGACATGGTGATATTATTATGCCACAATTGCAGTGGAAGGGACAGATGCATGGGGGACAGCTGGACACACAACAGTGCAATAAGAGACAAGGCAGTGCAAGACAACAGATGACTCAATATCTGCTCTAAAAGCCACTAGAGTAGTGGTTTCTGGAGGCCGGGGATATAAGGATTCACCTTCTAACAGGCAGTTTAAAGATATATACTTGATACTAAACAGGTTTAATAAGTTATTCAACACATAATCCGTCATTCTAAGACATCAGCAAATAACATAACTAACCTATATTATATAGAAAGTGAAATATTTGGGCCTGTGTAATTTATGTATGGTGATGTGTGCATGGGATCTATATTTTTCTTTCTGTGGAAGAGATCTGCTTGTGATAAAAAAACAAATTTTGTAGAAACCTAACTTTCACATATGGTCAATACTTTCTTGCGATCAGTGTGGCGTTGACTAACTGTAGAAGTACCTTTTTAGATAGGACCCAACCCATGGTCAAATTTTGTCTCAGATACACAAAACTGTGGAATCACCTAGCATTTTTGGCATTACTCTTTTAAAATTGCAACACAGATACTGGCAGTAATGTTTATTAACAAAGAATGTTTACAAATTTCATACAGTGGATGATTAAATAAGTGACTGGAGGAACTGATATAAAGTTCTACAATCTCTAAAAACTGGAAGATTTCCACAATTTTCACCACCAGTGTTCATTGTCAAACTATCATTTCATGTTTTTTCCCAATAGGATGGATGCATGCAGGGTACCCTGTTATGCTTCATCTGGAATCTGTGAAAGAAATAGCCCAGCTTACGTACATGAGATCTGAAGGCATGTGGGGTCCCATCCATGAGCTGGGACACAACCAGCAGAGGAAGATGTGGGAATTCCCTCCACATACCACAGAAGCCACCAATAACCTGTGGTCTGTCTACATTCATGAGACAGTATTAAACATCCCCAGATACAAAGCACATCCTGCTCTCAAGCCAGAAGCTCGTAAAGTGACGATAAAAGAGTATGTTGTGGGTGGAGCAAACTTAAAAGACTGGACAGTCTGGACATGTTTGGAGACCTACTTGCAGGTAGGTCTATGATACGGTAATTTATACAGCTATCTGTAAGGTTGATCTTTGAAAGAAAAAAATATCCATGAGTTATGATTCTTCTTAAAACAGAGAGAAAAAACAGTTTGAATTCAGTCTTTAAGCTGTCAATGTGGCCTGCATTGATTATACACTAAAATGAAGTGGAAGACCAGAATAGGACAGAGTTGTTGGTCATCCTTCTCTTGCTTTCCCAGCTTCAGGAAGGCTTTGGTTGGGACGCTTTCATCCAGGTCTTCTCTGACTACAAGGTGATGCCCCACAGTGAGATGAAGAAGGAGGAGAAGATGAACCTGTGGGCGGAAAAATTTTCTCAGAAGGTGAAGAAAAACCTGGTGCCTTTCTTTAAGGCCTGGGGCTGGCCCATCGAGGACCAGGTGGCCAAGAAAGTATCATCTTTACCAAAATGGGACAACAATCCCATGATAAGTTACCTTTAAGTTCTAGTGACAACCATTCCGTTTTTCATTTAGTGTTTAATGAATCCATTAGGTGGTTTAAAATTACATTATATCCAGACTCATGTGACAGACAATGAAGATTATGGAAACCCTGTAGGGCAAAACACACCAGCAAATATGAAAACATGCCACCAATATAAAAACAAGCCAGCAAATACAGAAACACACTAAAAAAATAAGAAAACATGTCAGCAAATACAAAAGCATGCTGTTAAATAAAATACATCAGCACATAAGAAAACACACCATGAAATACAAAAATACATCAGTAAATAACAAAATACACCAGCAAATAAGAAAACATGCCAGCTAATATGAAAACATACCAGCGAATGGGAAAACATACCAGGAAATGGGAAAATGCTACAACATTCGCAGAACTGAAATCATAAAGGGTATGTACCTCCTGATCGTCACGTGCTTGTGAATGATTGGACAGGGAGCCTGTCAATTGGCATCCCATTGTCTTATAGGAGTAGGCATCTTTAAGTACTAGCATTGGGTTGCACCAGGTAAGCGTAAGTTCGATCATAAAGTTGGGTGTAAAGTGTAGCTTAAATCATATGTTGAAGCTAGCTAGTTTTAAACTAGCACCATGTTCTTTGTCAGTTGCACTACTGCCACTTAAGTTACATCATAGATAGTAGCTACTAAATAAAAATCTTGTCGCACAGAATGATGTTTTGACCTTGGACAGCCAATCAGTATCATTATCTGATATTACTGTAACCAACTCACTGCTCCACATGTTTGTTGAGTTTGGATGATACATACAGTAGCTACTGATTTGTTTTCTCTGTATTTGCAAGTAGTATTTCAACCACAGCTGTAATAAAACTAGTAATGCACCATAAGAACTGTGTTCACTGGGTAGCTTACTAAATATAGTTAGGGATGCAACGTATCACAAAACTCACTGTTCGGCTTGTATCATGGTATTTGAGTCATGGACCGGACCATTTAATGAATTAGCAAAAAAAGGAGACAAATTTAACTTTGCTTTCCAATTATTACTCAAACAACTTAAAGAAAACTCAAAGCAAAGAACTTGTAACACATGCCCCTTTAACATGAACACACAACTGTATTGTCTGTATGAGTTCATTGTAACTCTGCCTCAGAACTTATTTTTCTTGTGATCTTAACATAGCCAAAGTTGTTCTCTTGAAATCACAAAAGAAAAGTTATCTTGGGAAAATACAAGTTGTAATTACAAACGCGAACAGCATTTGTCAAGAGAAAGTTTATATTATGATTTAGTCATACATTATAGCTTAACGTGGCGCAACTTATTATTACTTAGTAGTTTGTAAACTCGAACACAGGGGCAGTTTACGTCCACCATAGACTACGGTCAAACTTACGCTTAAAAGGTGAAACCCAATGCATTAACCTTGTAAGTCTCCATATCCATGCAGAAAGAGTGATCAATATTCAATCCTGCATGGTACTTTACCTGTGGAAATGTTAAATATAAAAGCGGGAGACAAAGAGGTTCAAGTAAACAAAATAGTGAGAATATGGTGTGTCAGTCTGTTGTTCCATTTGAATGAGAATTTTCTGGAACTTGAAAAATAAAGCAGCGAGGACTGACAAATAATGACCACTTCATTCGTGATCTCGGTTGGAAGTTTGTTTCATATTGTGCCTTTAAATACAGGTCAGTGAGAAATATCTTAAATCACGATCCCTTTATTTACATGCATCATATGAACTGTAAGTGAAATTCTTGTGCCACAGTTACAGGAGAAGAAACAGGTGTATGAGGGCCAATAGGACAAAATAGTATAAACAGCAGTGCAATAACAGATGCGATATGAAGTGCAATATAAGATATGAATATGAAGAGTGGAACAATAAATATATTCAGCATGCCTCAGTTTGTGCAGGCTAGGCAAAGTGCAAAGCCCACTGATAAAAGTGCAAATATGTAAACAGTACACCCAAATGCGTGAACTTCTCTATCAAGGAAAGAGGTTCTTCTGGGAGTAGCGGCTGTTCTCTAGGAGTGGTGGATTTGATGAGTAATTATAAGAGCACAACAACAAATAAATCGATCTGCAATTTACCTATAAAACACATTGACCTATGTGCGATCAGACGAGATTTGTTGTAATGATAACGAAAACAGGCACAGCACCGTAACATTAACCTTATAGCCCAGAACAAAGTAATTGCTTGCACATGTCTGGTTGTACATATCATTTAATGGCATTACATGATAAAATTAAGATAATGATTATATATAATAATAAATGATGAGTAAGCAAGTGATTTATACTTATATGTGAATACACCAAAATATTTCGTCCACTTCAGAGTCACCCATGACATTTACAGCAAGAGGCTCACATTCATCTAAGTCTTTCGATTGCAATGTGTATAGTCACATCTAATGACACTTGTTTTCTCTTTGAATCTTTTGCTTGCATCTGCTACCTAAAGAAGCACCATTTGATTAACTGGTTATGGCTTGTTGGCTGATTTACAGGCTCCCTGTCCAATCAGTAACAAGCATGTGATGATCAGTAGGTATATGCCCTTTCTGTCTTCAGTGCTGCTAATTTTGAAGTGTTTTCATATTTGCTGCTGTGTTTTCCCATTTGCTGGCATATTTTCATATTTACTGGAGTGTTTTCTCATGTGCTGGTGTGTTTTTGTACTTGCTGGCGTGTTTTGTCCTTCAGGACTTCTATAGTAGTTAGCTCCATTTATGGGTACATTCCCAACAAAGGACCAAATTACAGAGTAATGCATGTTTTTCTGTGACACTGTATCTGTCTGGAATGGGTAATGGGTGGTTTTTATGATAATAACTGCTTTGTACCCAGTTTAAAAAGCAACTGCGGCAGGGACTGTTTAGACCTCACTGAAAGTGATGACATGTAAACTATAGAAGTAGGTGCTTGCTTCAAAACAGTGTGGGACACATAAAATTATTAAGAGTGAAAATGAATATAATAGGGAGACATCGAGCTCTGACACTTCACTGTCATCCACTGTGTAGTCTTAGATTTATTATTGCAACCATAGAATTGCCTTGTAACCATATCTTTGCATGTTACATTTTTGTCTAATAATTATCAAAGTAGTACACAGGTTTCCTAATCCTGGAATGTTACTGTAAACACAAGTTCCCAGGTCTCCTAATGCACACTTTGAGAAATCCAATATCAGTGCTGTATGTGTTGTCCCAGTAATTTCATTAAAAGCCTGTAAAAAAACTAAAACTAACAAATCTGTTGTGGATGAGTGATTTGAGTCATGCTTGAATGAACCCTGACTATAATGCACAAGATAAATTACAACATAAACATACTCAATTTACTTTTAACATACGCAACCAAAATAGTAAATCTTGAGCAGCTTCCTAGAATAATAAAGAATGACTATATATTTTTTAATTACATATTTTATAATCTTATCTTATAATTTTTTTTCCTGCTACACTTTGAGAAACAGACCGATGGTAATGTGTACATTATTCTTCAGTTAGGTTTGATGCCATTTGTGTCAGGTCCGGTGCTCAAACGGGTAGCGGGGAAGCAAATCCAGAAGACGAAATCCAAAGGAACGGGGTTTTATTTGGGGTAAACGAGGAGCAGCCCAAGACAAACTTCAATGACAGACCTGGGGAACCAGACTTGAATGCAGACTAAATACAGGACATGACATCAGAAGAAATGCAAGACAGCTGGTACGATGGGAATGGACATGTGGGTAACGAGGTGGGCGTGGCACACACGAAGACTGGATGTGTAGGTCATGACAGAACCCCCCCCCCCAAGGCATGCACTCCGGGCGTGCCCCAAGGGGAGCGGCGGACAGGACAAGACCGGGAACAAGACGAACCTGGAAAACAAGACAAGACCGTTACCGGGGCACAGGGAACAGGACTGAAACACGAAACAGACACAAGGGCAGAAACCACGACAAAACCACGAGCACAGGGAACACAGACAGGCACACCAGAAAGGGAGAGACAGAGGGCACAGAGAACTGAGGAACAAAAGGACCAGGAGTGAACGGAGGAACCAGAGGGGGACGAGAAGCAGAGACAGGAGGGACAAAGGGACGAGGAGTAGACAAGGGAGGCCAGACAGGTAAGCCCCGGGGGGCAAAGGGGAGCCTGAGGGAGCCGCGATGGGCGGCAGCTGGAGGGGCCGCAGGCGACCGAGAGGCCGAGGGTAGTGGTCAGACTGTCTGGGACCTCCTTGGGGACTGGGACTGGTGCTGGGGGGACTGGAGCAGGATCGGGACTAGCAGAGCCTGGGCCGGGGCATCAGGCGTGGGTGGAGCCGGAGCCTCGGGTGTAGCAGCGGTCGATGCCGTAGCAGGGGCCGTGGGCATAGCAGCGGACGGTGCCGGGACCTCGGGCGGAGCAGCAGCCGGAGGCGGGACGTGGGTGGAGCAGCAGACAGAGGCGGGGCACGGGTGGAGCTGCAGGCGGCGCAGCAGGGAGTTTGGGCGGTGCAGCAGGGAGTTCGGGTGGTGCAGCAGTAACCGCCGACTCAGGGTTACCAGCAGGGGGCGCCACGGCAGCCAGAGGGACAGGCGGAACAGGCAGATCAGGTGGGACAGGCGGAACAGGTAGATCAGGTGGGACAGGCACGTCAGGCACCGGCGGGACAGGCAGATCATGCGCTGGCAGGAAAGGCAACGCAACTAGAGCCGTGGACGGAGCAGGAGACAGAAGCCTGTTAAGGGCCGGCGTTACCTTGTCCGTCGCCAGCGTGGTGGAGGGCACCAGTTCCTTCCTGAACTGCAACAGCCTCCTCAGGCTGTCTTCAATTGTTTTTAAATCACTCTTTGGGGAAGTCAGGGTGAAGCCGGCGAACTCTCACTGAAACTGTTCAGCGAGTTGGGCAGCTTCTGGGGAGTCTTGCAAGGCCATTTGATCCATCACCTTCCAGTACTCTTGCAAGGCCATTTGATCCATCACCTTCCAGTACAAGCCTTGGAGGGCGAAATACTGTCCAGCTAATGACGGATCCGGGGCTGCTGCATGTCCTCTACGAGCTGCTGCTTCTGCCGGCGAAATCACCGCTGGGTCCCGAATCGGGAGGGGCTCCCCCTGATACCCGGCGGGGATAGAAATGGAGAGGGAGGACGCTTTCAGGAAGATTGTCGCCCAATGTGCGTCATCTTCCAGGGACATCACTTCTAGGATGTCCCGGCTTTGGCAGACCATTGCCCAGGCTGCGGGATCTTCCCGGACTTCAGGTTGGGCCAGCCAGTACAGGACCAGGCCGAGATAAGCCTCCTCAGCTAGGGGGGGTACCTTTTTTGTGAGGTCTGTCATTGTCAGGTCCGATGCTCGAACGGTTGGTAGCGGGGAAGCAAATCCAAAAGATGAAATCCAAAGGCATGAGGTTTTATATGGGGTAAACGGGGAGCAGCACAAGACAAACGTCAATGACAGACCTGGGGAACCAGACTTGAACGATGAATAAATACAGGACATGACATCAGAAGAAACGCAAGACAGCTGGTACAATGGGAATGGACACGTGGGTAACGAGGTGGGCACGGCACACACGAGGACTGGACGCGCAGGTCATGACAATTCGCATTTCCGTGCCACAGGCTAAATGGATTGTGAGTAACAGTGGTTCAGACAGTCCTGGATACTACAAAAGCAGCTAAAGTCACTGAACTCCGGAAACCAGCAGAGATATGGGGATGAGACACATAAGCTTTTTTGGGGATGGTGGCTTCCCTTTCAAGGTGTTATAGGGCCTGCAGTAGGTTAACGGAAAGATGATAAAATAAATCTGAACATATATGGAATCCCATTCATGAACTCAGTAGTGGCCACTAGAGGGGAATGTAGGACCTTAGTCTAAATCAAATAAGGAGGGAAATTTGGAAAAGACCTGGCAGGTCATTTGGGTTGTAACATGAAACCCTAATACACTGAAATACATTCACCATCAAACTCTGGCATGGCAGAACTCTTGTATGCTGATTTAGGGAGCTTGCTGATAAAACTCCAGAATAATAAAAAAATGCATTTAGATTCCATTTTTGCAGTGACAGCATGATGGATGATGAGTGGATGTTGCAGGTGATCACTGCATTCATACTGCCCATGACTGCTTATTATCTGAATATGTGACAAGCAGGGTTCAAAATTAACTTTTCTGAAGTTACCAGCCAATCAGAATTTCCATTAGACAAATTTTTACGTGGTGAAAATAAGAGATTATGAATGCCACTGAATGAAAATTTGATAATTTTTTTAACAGTGCATGAAAAACGCACAGAAAGTGCAATACACACAACAAACTATACAGTTATAAACTGTTATAAACTTAACTATACATCCCCACCACGAAACTGTTAGTTTTATTTTTTTCTTTCGTGTACTCAGGGAAAATCTGACAAAACATGACCGCATTTTTACTATCAAACATTAGCCAATGACGACCTGTCTGCCATTTACAATTAAACTTCCTTCTCTTTGTTTCGCACGCTCTGTCAACATTTTCATCTTCTGCCTCTTCTCACCTCTTCCTGATCCTGACGTCTGTCCTAACCACCGCAGCATTTTGATTTTAGCTTATTTCACTGTCCAGCTCAGTCCTCTTTGCTCATCCGATATTTCCTATTTCTTGTTTGTATTTTCGCGCTCTCGTCGTTGATTGGACCCGCAAACCGAAGCGTACAGTATCTGCGCGCTGCCGCCAAAGGTATCTAAAACGTCACCCGTAGTGTAGTGTTCATGTGAAATGTAGAACGGAGGGGACAAACGACCCAGAGCGTCTCTGACATGATTTGCATGATTGGTTCATGCATCACCGGCCAAACTGGCTGGTAAGTTTTTATCAATACCCGCCAAAATGATTTTTAACCCGCATTTGGCGGGTGTTAATTTCGAACCCTGGTGACATGGTACCCTGTGATAAACAATGCATTGCAACTCATGATACCCATGATCAGCATCACTACAGGGAAACATCCACCCCAACCCTCTCCATGGGTCCCCTACCTGATGTGGAAGCATTGCCACTCGAGAGTGATGACTCGCACCCTTCTAGGTGGTGCGCGTGTCACAGCAGTCCATGTGCAGTTCTATGTCCTAGCTGCAGCTGCGCCAATAGAAGCAGCAACGCAGTTTCCTCAAGTTTTTACTGGTCCAAACAGCCTAGCTCCTCATCTGCTATGCACCGCCCACAGGACTGTGGGGCGGAGGTTTCAGGGTACCAAAGATTCAAAGGTTTTACAAGGTACACTGTCCGCCTGTAACCTGCAGTGAAATACAAGGTCCTCAACTCCACCATAATAAAAATAATGAAAGCAGTAAGACAAAGTTTCAGAACAATAAATAAAGAACAGTGAAGTTACACAGTTGATAAGAGAAAAGGAGAACCAGATATGTGCATCAATAGCTCCAAGAAGTTCATAGTGCATGAGTAAGGAGAATATAATTAATTACAACTGTCAATTGTTAAATAGTCTGATGGACTGGGGGTTGAAGTTTCTTCTGTGCCTCTCAGTTTTCACTGAAAGACAGTATTGTTTTCTGGTGGGGGTTGCTGATAGGTTCAGCTCAAAAAAATACCACCATCTGCCGAGCAAGAGGTCCAGGACAGAACAGTTGCCAATCCAGGCTGTGATTCTCATGCGGAGAAAGCTCTCTAAAGGTCCAGAGTAGAAGGCTCTGAGAATGTCTGGTGGGACCTTGAACCTCCTCAGCTACCTAGGATTGTACAGCCACCCAGTCAGCAGAAGTACATCGGCGCAACGTTTTTTGAAAGGTTGGTATCTAGTAGCATTTCAGGCGTTTGCACATTGGCCCTACGTAGTGGTGTTGAAACAGCTCCGTCTAGGTCAGGGGTGGCCAATCCGCAAAGGGCCGGTGTGTATGCGGGTTTTCGCTGCAACTCCCTAATTAGAGGACTGATTGGCTGAAGAGTCCTCACATCTGGGTTTGAACAGCTGACCTACAGGTTATCCCAAAAACCTGCATACACACCGGCCCTTTGCGGATAAGATTGGCCACCCCTGGTCTAGGTGATGTAATCCCGACGTTTTCCAAAACTCTATGTCTAAGTAAAACTCCGCGATCATTTCCTGACCCACTCATTATCCTATGATTGCCAATAATTATTTCTATGTTTGCTTTAGTGTTGAACACATATTGATACTAATATTTTATTTATAATATATAATAAAAAAATACAAAGGTGTTCATTAAGAGTTTTTATTAAATAAACAAAATATAAAATGCACACGTTGGGGAAAAAAAAAATACATAAAAATAAAAATACTGAAAGAAAAGGACTATCGGACACGCCTGGTCAGCCTGTCACGAGACAGTCTGAGCCACTCTTTGATGGTTTTTTCAGCTTCAGCCTCATTTGGACTAGACACCAGTGGGTTTTGTAATGCAGACTCTAAAAAACAGAACAGACACAATTCACTTACATTATACATTATTAAATGGTAAATGTCAATCATAAACAGGTGAGTTTATTGTTATTCCTTTACATTGTGATTGTTCAGTTTTTATCTGTCTTTTTTTTGTCTGAAAAAAAGCAACTTTGGGCATTAAAACCAAAGAAAACTATGGGAAAGAATTATGTAACGTGCATTGGGAGGTTAGATCCATATTGTGTTTGCACCTTTAGGATAAAAACTTTATCCTGAAAGGTCAAATTTTACCTTTGCTTAAAAATTGGTTTTACTTACGGATAATCACATCTATGATGTTTGTATTCCTCATTGGTGTTTTGTCCCCTCTGCCACACCAGTTTAAATGAACTGCCAACTGGGGAGCAAACACCTTTCCACAGATCCTCCAAACTGTTTTCTTTAGTGTTTGCCCCCCAGCCATTGACAGTTTGGAAACCTGGAGGCAACAACAGATGTTTCGTCATACAAAATTTATTACATACTTTTGGGTAGTGTGTGTGTGTGTGTGTGTCTATATATATTTATATACATACATACACATGTATACACACATACACACACACACACACACATATATACACACATACACATATATACATACACACACACATACATATATATATATATACACATACATACACACACACACATATATATACACACACATACATACATACATACATATACACACACACACACACACACACACACCTAAAGGATTATTAGGAACACCTGTTTAATTTCTCATTAATGCAATTATCGAATCAACCAATCACATGGCAGTTGCTTCAATGCATTTAGGGGTGTGGTCCTGGTCAAGACAATCTCCTGAACTCCAAACTGAATGTCAGAATGGGAAA